AGTGTTAAATCATGTAGAACAGTCTGTCGGGGTACACCACAGGGAGGGGTACTTTCCCCACTTCTGTGGAACATAGCGGTTAATACCTTGTTGAACCTTTTGGAACGATCCGGATGTAGCGTAATAGCTTATGCCGATGACATTGCTATCGCTTCATCGGGTAAATTTCCCCAGGTTTTATTGAACGTTATTTATTCCGCGCTCGTCACGGTAACTGAATGGTGTAGGGAATTTGATCTTGATACTACATGTGCTACTTACTGTTGTAGAAGAGCTATAGGTCGTAGCTGGGGCCTCCAACCTCGTATTTTAAATTGACTCTACACGGCCGTTATTGAATCTACTCTTCTCTACGGGGCTGCTTTCTAGTGGCAAGCTACTGAAAAGGCATGTCACTCAAAACTTATTGACAAAACAAGAAGAATATCCGTTTTACAAATCACCGGTGTTCTGCGCTCCACTCCTACAAAGGCTCTTTTTACTCTGCTTCACTGGTTGCCATCGCGGCTTCTTGTAAAACAGCAAGCTAAGTTTGTAGCGACTAGACTAAATGCTCTTTCACGCTGGTCTAGAATTGATACAGGACACGCAATCATACTGAATCAGGATCTACCAGCCCCTTTATCAATCGACTATAAGTGTTCCTACACAGACCTGAACCAGGGGTTTAAAGTTCTCTTGCCTAGTAGAGAAGACTGGACCCTTGGTAGAGTATCTACCCCCAATAAAATAGATATCTACACAGATGGCTCGAAAATAGACAAACGAATCGGTTGTGGCATTTTCTCGGAAAGATTAGGTCGTAGTGTTTCGCTTCGACTACCTAACTACTGTAGTGTCTTCCAAGCAGAAGGAATGGCTATCAATTTTGTTGTAAAATGCATCCTCGATAATCGTACCTCCGAAGAAAATTATTCAATTTTCTCGAATAGCCAGGCTGCCATTAAATCACTGGTAAGCACCTCAGCCTCATCAATTATTACTCAAAATTGCCGTGCTTCCCTCAACGACCTAGCTATGTGCGCTAACGTTCAACTTATCTGGGTTCCTGGTCATAGGGATATTGCGGGTAACTGAAGGGCGGATGAGCTTGCCAAGACTGGGGCTCTTCTCCCTGATATTCATTTATTAGAAATTGGCGTTCCACTTGCAACAGTTAAACTGGCAATTAAACAAAAATATCTAAGCATTGCTCAGCAACAATGGGCAAGTGAGCCCAGTTGTCACATTTATAGGTCGATTTGGTCTAACTTGGATAAAAAGCGTACGAGTCAGCTGCTCCAACTAAGGAGAGATCTGCTCAGTACTACGGTATCGGTGCTAACGGGTCATTGCTTAATAGGGAGGCATGCTATGAGACTAGGTCTTCCTTATAGTGACCTTTGTCGCGGTTGTGGCTCTGAGGACAAGGAGGAAACTGTGTTCCATCTTATATGTCAGTGCCCATCTTTAGCCAGAAAGAGATCAAAAATCTTGGAGGCCCCTTTTCTGACCGATCTGACTGATCTGTCATCCTACAATGTGACCTAGCTAGATTCATAGAACTGTCGGGTTGGTTCTCCTTCACCTAATAGGGGAGTCGTTGCCTCTGTGTGGCGTTGGTCGTATACTGATCACCTTATCTATATACGAACATCGCTTTTTCCTTGTGGTACCGCAACGGGCCATTATTTGTGCTCAAGTGGGCTTTCTTGAGTAAACAAGGCCGCCACTCCAACCAACCAACCAACCAACTTTGATTTTTTATGTAGTATGCATCATGGTTTGCATACTACACATAAAAACCTTAAGACTTTGGATCAGTGTATTTAGCGTTTCTTCTAAATTATCTACTGCCGGTATCGCCAATTGTTGAGGTTAAACATTTTCTCTCAATACATTTGCATAACTTTTGCCTTGAGGTATTATTACTTCTGGATTGCTTATTTGTTTTTGGAAGTAATTTTTGGGTGGCACGGTACTTGATTGATTTTTGGGAACAGTTCTCTGCTTAACTGCAACAAATACAGTACAACCCTTATAATTTGCTGTATGGTTTTTGCCACAATTCCTGCATTTTTTTGCATTTGCATCTTCCTTAGGTTTTGGGCATATGGAGGATTTGTGTAGATCTTCCCATATTACACATACACTGGGTAGGGTGCAATAGGTTCGAGTATGACCAAATTTTTGACAGTTAGTACATTGTATTGGATCTTTTCTTTTGAAGGGTTCTTCTACTGTTATCCTTCGACGTAAAAGATAACGAAGATTGTAAATTGGATACACTTCTCCTTTAGCAAGTTTTTTTGCGCTCAAGTTCTACTTTAAATATTAGTTGAAATATTTTATTTTTATTTTTAATATTAAAGATGGACTTTGTTTCGAAACTGGTTTTTATATCAGATTCCAGTACGAAATGTTCTACACCTTTAATTACCACATTTAAACCTTTGCTACCTATTTTAACTGATAGGTGTAGTAGCTTTTGTTATTGGCATCAAAGAAGTTTATAATTTTTCTATAGTTAAATTCGTCATTTATTTGGATTTTTGCTTTATGGACATTTCTTTTAAGAGTGGAATCACATAGAAATGTTTATCGCCGATAATGGATGTCATTTTCTGTAAGAGCTCATTAAAATTTTTTTCCCTTAAGTAGATTGGAGGTGGTTTATATTTTTTGGTATTATTTCTCGCTTTCATCAGTTTATAAAATTTCAAATCTATTTTTATTTGAGGAGGCGCGGTTTTCAACTAATTTTGTTTGTTTAGGTACTTGACTAGTTGGTTTTGTCATAGGGCTGCGTTTCCGCTTTGTAACAAGAATGTATCTATCTATTCCTGTCTGAATTTTATTGCAGCTGTCTTGTTTAGCAACATTTTGCATATTGTTTTTATCTTCAACATTGATAGACTCATGTTCGTTATTATTTCTTACGCAATTTGGCTATTTTTGATTACAAACATTTTTCTGCAACATTTTCTCTGCTACATGTTTTTCATTTTCAGTCTGAATTGCAACATTTGTTAATGGAGAATTTGGCTGTGAAGATCCACATTCAGCACTTTATGAAAAAGTTGACTGCGCATGCGCTGTGAGAAGATTACTTTGCGTGCAGAAGAAGACGGCAATAAATTAGTAAATTTATTTGTTTGTATACTTACTCCCTCATCAACTTGTTTATTTCCGTGCTTAGGGGGAGAACGCAGGGGCATTTTTTTAGTTTGGCGCAATCTGTTAGTTGTTTTTAATTTATATCGAAATTAAAAAATGAAATAATTCAAAATTCACTTCCAAGCTCCAACACACGCAGTGGAATTTTAAGCGAATTTAAGCAAATTTTAGATTTAAATAATCGCACTTTCTCTATTTATATTATTTGAAAGCAGAGCAAACAAAAACGCGTCTAAACACTTTGACGAGAAAAGCTTTTCTTACTTAATTGAGTTAGAGTGCTGTTGGTAATTAAATTTAATATAAGAACTTTATTTTATGTTATTATTAGCCGTAATTTCGTTTTTTAGAGCTCTAAAAAACGGCATTAAATTTACATTATTTTCATGGCACGTCTAGACAACATGGAAATATTGTTAGGCTTATATATGCAAAACACGTAATAAAATTTAAAGTTAAAAGTTCGGAAACGAATAATAATTCTTTGCAATTATTGGTAAGAATATTTTTTTACTTGATTGTGAATGAAATATGAATTTTCATGCCTTTTAACAGTAAAATAATAAATAGAAAAAGTAACGTATTTGTTGCGAACAATGAAGACACGAAATACGAAGAATTAACGAAATCCTTCTTTAACAGTTAACTGGAAATTTCATTGGTACTTCACAATAGACGAATTTTTAATCTTGGCAACCATGCGATTTAGCTGCTTTTTAGTTAAGCAATTTCAAAAAAGTTGGACTAAACAAGCCAGCAATTTTCTTGTTTCATGTTATTTTAAAATAAACAGTTGTTTCTTTATGACTCACTTAAAAAATAAAAGGCTTATTATTATCGAAATTCAGGGCTATGGAGCGTCAATACAAAAAAATCAAGCTAAATAACAGCCAAACCGAAAGATATCAAATGGTTTGCCATTATAAAAGATTAAAACACACTATTGAAACTGCTTGTGTTAATTAATTATGAGCATATTTAAGCACTTATTAACCCTATGCATTCCTTCTTTTTAGTGAGCTACTATTGAGTAATGGGAGTACTAATCCTTAATTCACTTCGGATGAGAGCGCGTCCCTAGCCCGCACTAGCTTTATTTGAGCCAGTGCTACAGATGCACGTATATCAGTTGTTATTTACATAAACTACTCTTGAAATATTTCAAATTTTTTTGTATAAATAGAGGAAGGACCTAGTCGTCGTTCCGGTGGTGTAACTGCAATATTCGCAACAATGAGTTGAACGAATATCTCAGAAAAGCAACGAAAAACTGGCATATATTGAGTAAAAAGAAATTGAAGAAAGTTTATTTCATATCATATAAAAGAAAATGTCCCGATTATTAATTTTATCAAATTAAAATTATTAAATATATTATTATTAACATAAATTAACATAAAACATACTTTGTTGTAAGTTTTATAACTTCAAAATGTCATAGTCTTAAGGATATGTTAAGTTAAAATTTAATATTTATTTACATATTGTAACCTTAAGGCTATTTTAAGTTAGAATTAAGTTCTTATTTTTAATATTAGTGAAATAAATTATTGAAAAATAAACAATATACATATAAACACTTCAATGTTTGTAATTCATTACAAATCGAGTCTCTTACAATGTCGCACAAATAAACAATTCGAAAATCAGGTTTGCATTTAGCAAACCTGATTAACACCTCAACACAAATTTTGCTTGAAATAAACTATACGAGAAAAGTCTGTATAGAATTTTAAAATTTCAACAGGGATGTTACGCACTCTCAGATGATCTCTTTTACTTGAAGATTCACTGGTGATTTGTGTATACACAGAGAGACTCAAAGTTACAACGAGTAGCTCGTGAAACAGACCTTTAATGTGTAATATCTGCTAATAATTCTACCTCATTACACAGCAATTTGTATACAAGCTTGGATAATTCAACAAATTTTTACACAATTTTTCGATAAACTCAGTTTTTTTTATTTATCTATATTGCTTCGAGTAAAGAAAATAGCCAAATTATAAAGAAGCTAGTATCTATCAGGGAAGGCAGGCGTTGGTTTTAAGAATTAAAAAACTAATGTTAGAATATATATTGAAACAAATAACGCAGTCTGTAATAAAATAAAGAAATTAATTTCTTACTTTTTCGCAAATGCAAACAAGACATGTAAAAGAAAAAGCGGTTGTTGTAAACGATGTATATTGGAATTTAGGATCATCAGATTCATTGTATTCGGATATGTGTAGCGATAATGGCGATCTGGCAAATTGGGAGCAATATGTTGCCGATAACGGAAATTTATTTTATGCTGAATACATTCCACAAGATAATGAAACAAATAAGTACGAAGAGTTAGGCAAGCAATTATCTTTGCCTATAACGGAAAATAAAGCAAATCGTCGAAAGTATAATCATAAACGATCACAGTCAGACTATGTTCAAAATCAGAAGCACAAAAATATAAATGATCAAATTAGTACTAAAATTCAAAATCATTGTTTTAAATTTTCAGATATAAAATGTCAAGGGCATGTAAAGCAATTGGAATTAATCATTAGTGCAGCGAATCGGTATCGTTTTGGACGTCGTTCTTCTGCTGTTGAATCTATTTTAGGTTTCCGAGTCGTGGCTTTTCCAGATCAGCCCGAGTGCTTAATGGTTGATGATTTCATACACCAAATGCCCAACATTCAACAACATATTATACGCGGCGATTGGTTTAAAAGTTTAGATAATATCGATATACGAACAAGCAATATTGAAGAATTATTACTTCAATTCACTGAACCAACTAAAGTTTGTCTTAGATTTCAGGGCGCACCACCAATAGTGGATGATATAACCGATTTAGGAAATATTGGTCAAAATATCAAAATTATTGAGGATTTTTCCACATTCGCTAAAAAGTTCTCTAGTTTAACTAAAGAAGAATCAAAAACCACAATAATAGCTAAAAACAATGATGCTCAACCTTTCATTTTTCTTCTTTTGCCACCAGAATGTTATCAAAATGATAAGTATAAGAGTTCGCTTTACTCTTATCCAGAAAATCCTGAAGAAAATTTTCTATATAAAACTCGTGGAAGTTTTCTTACTATGAATGCAGTTTTGACAGAAGAACTGAAGACTAAACCGTTAGTAACAAAAATTTTGATTGAACGTGATCAATATTACGTTAATTATGGATCATTAGGTGGATTTCTGGCGCTGTCTGCATTTTTGGCAGAAAAGATTAGTGTATCAGAATCCAAAAAGTGGGCTAATGAACTGTTGTGTTATATACGATTTGCTTTACCAAATTTATCTCCTGATGATTTTCTGAAATCTAATGTATCTGTCGCCAATTTACGAAGATTTTTGAATGATTTTTTTCTTATACAACAAAATCGTTTTCTTGCAATATGTAAAAGAAACTCTTATCTATTTGAAGAACTTTTTGAGCAAACAAGATATTTGCCATTACCTAAAGAAGCACAACTTCGAATACTCGATGCAATGAGTGAGTTGGAAGCAATGGATTATAGAAATTGGAATACCGAACCTTTAAATACTCATCGCGAGTTTTTTGTATATGGAAGTGCTTTGTTTTACGATATGTTTATATTAGTTTCGCAGGTACCAGTAAATATTCTTTCAAATATTGAATGCTTCTTACGGTGTCGAGGTATTTTCAACTTTATTGTAAATCAAAATGTCAAAGAGCTTTATGTCTGGGAAGAAATAATATTGCCTAATACTCCAGAACGCCATTTTTTAATAGTATGTGGTAGACATCATTTTATTCTTACTGTTATATTAAAATTATTTAATGATCCGGATTTAGTACCAAATGCAAAAATTTCCCCATCTTTATTTTATATTGAAGAAATTCAGGAAACTTTAGAACATTTAATACAATGTGGCATTGAGTCTTTAGCAATGTTTTGGTCTGTATCAAATAAGCGGCCAGCTATTTTGTGTGAAGTTGGTCAAGAGGAATATGAAAAAAACTCAATGAAATCGGAGATTTCAACGAAACAAAAGCTTCCTTTAAATTTATTGACTAGCAGCAATCAGTCGCAGCTAGAGGAAGAGTCGTACGTAAGTTCATCAGTTGCAGGTTCTTCAGTACAAAGCGAAGAAGAAGTATATCGAAAGCGTTTAGTCTCTGTGAATTCAGGTTTCGATTCCGACAGTGAATCTGACTGGGAAAACTTCTATGAACAAGATGTACTCGATTCAGAATCTCAATGTCAAATAGCGAAATCATTACGAAAAGAAATAAACAATCTTATTCCCGTCAATATAACGGCAGGTTGGAAAAATGAATTATTTTATTACATTTCAATAGATCATGGTAATGGTTTAATATTATGTCCTTTCTTAAGCAATGTGGATGTAAGACTTGTAACAGAAATTCGCAAAGCTTGTTTTTTAATTCACAATGTTTTGAAAAGCTCAAACAATATAAAATTACCTTTAACTAAAGAAGTTAATAAGAACATTACTGGTATGGTGGCCATTAAAGAACACAGTATATCAGTTCAATTAAATGACACCAGTAATCAATTAAATATGAAAAACAATCGGTTTATTGTTGTAGGTCGATTGTTTAAAACACCAATCAAAGAAATTTATGTCTGTCACCGACCGGATGTCCCTCAAAATATAATAGAAATAGCTTTTCGCTTATCACTATTTTCAGTTGGATAAATATGTATTAATTTTAAGTTGTATGAAAATAAAAAAAAAACAAAAAAAAAACTTGCATTTTTATTATTAGAATACAAGTTTTGCTTTTAAAACTGCAATTATTCAGTGATCTAAATTATATTCATATAGATTAGTATATTTTCTATTTAAATTAAAGTATGATAGAAATATAGCTAAAACAATAAGAAGCTAATGATTACACATATATGGCAGCATTGACCTGAAGCAATAAGTGGTGAATAGATATTTTCGGCGTTAAAAATTGTTTTAAAAATAAACACGCTTGTGCCAGCCAGATATCAACACATTATAAATTGTGAGCAAACTTAGTTGCCAAGTTAACTTTATAGTATTGAGAAATTGCAGGAATATAGTAACGTATTTTGTGTTGCATGTTTTATTTCCTTTAAATAAATTTTAGTAATCTTGCAGTTAGAAAACGAAATCTAGAGAAGATTAATTTTCGATTGAATGCATCGAAGCCACTGCATGCCGATAGCAATGAGTTTAACTGTTTGGATATACTTTTTACTTACGATGTATAATTACTTTAATATCATTACTGCACTTGATTCAGCACATGAAACCGCTATTCCAACCAAAATCAGCAAAAGTGGGTAAAAAGTATTCTTAATTCTTTTTCGCTCTGAGATTAATTATTTATTATAAAATTTATAAATTGATTCTGTTTAATATAATTAACAATAAATAGTTCTGATATTTATATCTTATTGTTTTAAAATCTAAATTAATACAAGTACTTAATTTTATATACTAATTTCCATATTGAATAAATCTGTTCCAACCTAAAAATATCAGACACACTGAAATAAAGACTGTATATTTAATACATGTGTAATACACAAGTGATCTATTAATTTTTTCAAAATTTAAACTATTGCAAAACATTGTGTTTTGTAGTTGATACATATGGACAGGAAAGTAGTTTCCATGAAGAGACGAATACAAAACCGCGTGAAATTCAAAGGGCAATTTGTACGGTGAAAACTGGTGAAGTTGAAGCCAAGGCGGAAGCAGTTACTTCAAATACCTTAAAGGGCGTTTGCGAGTCAAGTATTATGTATTAACTTTTCATTAAATTTGAAACAAAGATATTAATTCACAGCGAAAATGGATTTGGCTTTTAAAAATTTGGAAGTACAATTAAAAAAGGAACTTCAAGAAATAAAATCTCTTATATTACAAATTTTTTCCACCTCAAAAAGAGTGCTGAAAATTAACGATGTATTTGATAAAGAGTCCAATAATGTTGAAGCAACAACTACAAAAATGCATGTTACTGAAGAGAAAGAGGAAAAGAAATTGCCGATTGTTGATAAACAAAAAGTTTTTTTAAGGGAAGAAGAAATTTCCAAATTAAACAACACAATTGTAGCAGATAAAGATTTTAAAGTTTTTACTTATTATTGGAGAGTTGATAACTTTACCAATCAAATTGAATCGGATGGTTCAACTCTCGAAAGCCCTATATTTTCAATTAAAGGTAACTTAGACCATTTTTAGATACTTCAAAATAATTAAATTATTTTTTTATAGGCAAACCAATGCATATTAAAGCAATTTTTAAGCATTTGCGTCGAGATTTTTTGTATATACAGTTGGAATATACAAAACTTAAAACTAAGATTCATAACAACATAATTCTCGACACAGATGGTCTCTTTAAAAAAATTAATTATACAAAGGATTTATTTAGACATAAAATTTCAATTATTGATCAAGTATTATATAAACGTTTTCAATTAAGAATATCTAAATATTGTTTCTTAATATTTTAGACCAATAACCACAATAAGGATTTAGTGTCCCAAGAGTTTACTAATTTGGAAGCTGGATTTCTCATACCACATAGTGCACTTCTCCAAAATTCCTATACAAAAAAAGATTCTATTCTTATACAGATCACTTTATATTTATAATTAAAAATCAATAAAAGTTTATTTAAATTAATTTTTAAAATATACAAATGATTCAAACAAATATGTAAATCAGATATTTATCATGTTTGTGATGAATTACAATTTACTACGTGCACCTTTTGCCTTAATATCCAAATACGGCAAAGCAATCGAATAAAGTTCTTTGCTAGACTTAAATTGCGCAAGATCGGTTATTTTAGTATGATGATCCATATTCGTAATAAGTTTATCTTCAGCAGTTTCAATGTCTACTCCAAATTGCTGCGAGATTATATGTACAGAAAGTACTCGCCTTTCCATGCCATTCCGAGAAATGCAGTTCTATATAGTAATTTTAAGATTTGTATTATATTTTATTTGCCATATATTCTTTTTTTACCTTAAAAAATTGTACGAATTCTTCTCTACCTATTTTACGCAATATTATGACTTCTGCTTCATTCCGCTCAAAGTGATATTGTGCTAAGGCTATTTCATTCAAAAATTTTTTATACTGCTGAAATATGGTTTTCGGTTTTTCTAATTTTTTTACGGCTAAAGCATCTTTATGACGTTCAAATTCTTCTATAGACATATTTTCAATTGATTTCTAAAATTTTTATAAAATTAAAATTATTAAATATTAAAATTTATATATGAATATATATTTGTTTATATTTATAATTATTTAATATTGTTCTTAATTGTATTTAGTTACGCGTGTTTACATTTAATTTAGACCAACGCTGCTACTAACCATTGGCCAACGACAACTGTTATTATGCATTATCAACTATTCGTGTTGGTCATGCACTGAAGAAAATGTTAAGTACTTTTCATGATATTTATATCAGCACTCTCTTTCTCTCTCTTATCCTCATCTCCCAGTGGAGCATAGGGTCTCACTGCAGCACAGCGTGGATAAATTTAGTATTTTAATGCATTAATTTTGCATAAAAAGACAAAGTATTTTTATTAAAGTTTGCAGATATAATATTAAGCAAGCTTCGAATTTTTTATTCTCTATACGATTAGTTTGAGTAACAAGTGCTCAAGCTAATCAACAAAATAATTGATTTCCATTCAAGTGCTCGAATGACATCATAGAATGTAAGCTGCCAAGTTAATTCAGATTAAGGATCTGAGGTGGCGCCCAAAACAAACCATATGTAGAAAATAAAAATTCACAAATTTAATTTTAGTTGATTATATTCTAATACAGTTTAGAATTGTAAATTGAAATTAAAAAAATTTGATTTCTTTCTTGAAAAAAGGCCGAAGTCAAGATTTCTTTTTTATGATTTTTGATTATGAATTTGAAAATATAAAACAGTTTACAATTTTTGCCTTTCCCCATTGTAAGTCAGATTTAAAAAATTGAATTGTTTACTAATGAATTTAATACTCTAAAATATCTGCTAATTGATAACCAACATCTATTGAAACAATTTGGGATTGCTTTATTCAATAATAGAATTCAATTAATAACACGACTCAATGATAAAAAGCAATTCAAATTTGAAAAAATCAAGTCAGAATTTCTTAAGAGCAATTTAAAAATTGGTAAGAATTGGTGTTTCAATTTTACAGATATAAAATTTCCCAGTGAAATACAATGGTTATTGTCTCTGAGTAATAAGTTTGCCTTACCAATACATCAACATAATTTTCCACTTTTCAAAACTATTTGTGATATTGAAGATTGTATACGTTTAGTTTCTGATGAGAAAGAGCGAGATGTTATGAGAGCACGTATAACTAACATTTTAATGTCCAATAACATTAATAGGAATAATTTCCAATATTCAAGGAATAACTAAGACATCATAATTTCACAGTTCATCACTAAAACACATGGTGATTTTATCCAATTCTTACGTAAAAATAAACATATCATCATCATCCGAGCTGATAAAGGAGGATCTACAGTTGCACTTAAATGCTCTGAATACGAAGAAAAAATGATAAGTATTCTTAACGACCAGTCTATTTATATTAAAGTTGAAGGTAATCCTCTTAATAAACTAGAAACTGAATCTAATAACTTAATACGACAGCTGTTTAATCTCAATGTTATTGATAAAATACAGTATCAACATATGACTAGACACAATGTGTCTCTTCCCAGAATTTATGCATTGCCGAAAGTGCATAAATTGAACCGTCCACTATCTATTTGAACACCATATTGAGCAAAATTGTACATAAGAAATATGATATCACAAATAGTTTATAAGCTCGAGAAATGATAACTAACATTATTGTTGAAAATGACGAAGTTCTCGCTTCTTTTGTTGTGATTTCACTTTTCCAAGTATTCCAATGGAGTTAGTAATTAAACTATTGGAAACCAATATACAACCATGCCTCAGTACCTCTTTTTTAAAATTAATTTTGCATTTTGTACTAATTGATTCGACATATTTTTTCTTTAAAGAGGATATATACGAACAAATTAATGGATGTGCTATGGGCTCAAATATTTCACCTACGATCGCCAACATTGTTGCAAATGATATCTTTCTGTCACAATTTCCCATTATCATTTAAACCTAGAATTGTTCTAATATATGTTGACAATATGTTCACCATTAGGTCAAAAAGTAAAATCTTTGAATTTCTACAATTATTAAATTCATTTCACAATCGCATACAATTCACTGTTGAACATGAATTTAATGAAAAACTTCCATACCTAGATTTAATAATATCTAAGAAAAATAATCGAGAATTAACAATTGACTGGTACCAGAAAGCTGTGTTTTCAGGTAAAATTCTTAACTATTTATCATACCATCCACGACAGCAGAAAATGAATGTGATTTACAAGCTTTTTTCCGCATATTTTCTATAAGTGACAAAGAATTTTACGCTGCCAACATTAATAAACCTTTCAACATTTTGTCTGATAATAATTATCCTCGCAAAATGATTGTTAGTCAACTACATCGAGTAAGGCAGCATTTTAAACTTTCAAGAATTAGATATCATGATCAAAGAATACTTAGTCCTATGATTCGAAGATCGATGGTATATATAAATGACCTATCAGTTAAAATTGCTAAAATTATCGAAAGAAAAGTAGACAATTTAAAAATATCTTTTAAACCATTTGCACAAATTCAAACAACTATATATACCAAACTGAAAGATCGTATTGAAACGAACAACATTATTAATTGTATCTATGAAATTCCATGCACTGGGACTGATAATAATGGTCAAAAATGTGAACTCTGCTATATTGGCCACACGAAAAATCAATTACATAAAAGAATAAGTCAACATAAAAATATACTAAAACAAATTAATCCTGATAAACAATCAGCTTTGGTCTCACACTTTCTTGATGAAAATCATTACCCAGATTTTGCTTCGGTGAAGGTCATTGAGAAGGAGCCTTCCTTGTCTCGACCTCTTACCTTAGAGTCCTTACATATTATGACTAGACCCACATACAATTTGCGGCGAGATATAGAAAATATTTCTGTTGTCTATTGCGCATTGCTAGAAAAATCATTCTAAAGATAAACCGATTTTATATTCTTCGTTGTAATTATTTAAAACTTTGTCAAAAAAATTTTTTTATATACAAATTTAATTTTATTCAGTTGTTTTAAAAATCTTTTCCCTGATGATGGTTTTAAACAACCGAAACGTTGGAAATATATATTAAATAAATAAAACAATAAAAAAAATTTTATTAAAAAAAACCAAATCAAAAAAAAAATCTGACTTATAGCCCAACACTCATCTATAATAAAGCTTATGTTGTATATACAGGAACCAGGAATTTAAGTCATTTACTTTTTTATTTATAATTACATTACACAGTTTCATGTAATTTTAAATTAATCATTTGTATATGGTAATTTTAAAAGTACCGGTTTGTACATTTGCTTCTTCCGTTTTGACAGTGAATATTTGTGATTTAACATAGTCTAATACTTTTAACTACAGAACATGGTGCAAGTTAAAATTTATTTTACAGAAAAAAGATAAAAATTAATTTTAATTCCATTTGAAACTTTTATGAACTATTTTTCCAGTTTGCGTTAAAACTTTAGTGTTTGTATCTTCTGTTACCATTTCTTTTTGGTATTTTGGTGTATAAGTTTGTTTCCATGTCATATATTTATTAATGGTTGCTTATATTTCTACTATTGTAGTATAAATCAGTATTTTAAGAGGGGTCCCGTCGAAGAACATCGTATATGGGTCATTCTTTTACAAATCGGACACCTTTTTGACCTCATGATCTCCGATTTGGCTGAAATTTTTTATGAATTCCTTTCATGACCCGTATTCCGTATCTCGGGAAAAAATTTTGTGATTTTTTTCCTAGGAGATATGGACCCATAAGGTTTTGAGAATTGTTATTGTAGACACATTTTCAAATTGCTATATCTCAAGTTCTATATTATTAAAGAATTTTAAAAAATAAGGTTTCCTGAAAACTTTTATTTCACAGTAAATTAAAAACTAAATCTAAATAAAATATAAAAAATGAAAATTTTGGGTACATGTTTTGAGAAAAATTTATTTTTTAAATTAAACGGTTAATATAAGTGCTTTAATATAAACAATTTTAATTGTTTAAATAATTTCTTATAAGTTCAATCAATAATCTTTAAAACGCAAAAAATTTCATATTTCCTTAATGGTATGAACTCATTCATAGAACTTGAGATATAGCCATTTGAAAATGTGTCTACAAAGATAATTTTCCTAGAAAAAATATACACAACATTTTTCCTCGAGATACGGATCTTCTTATTTCATGAAAGGAGTTCATAAAAAAAATTTCAGTCAGATCAGAGATCATAAGGTCATTTATTGGCAAAATCCGTCCGGTTTATAAAAGAATGAGCTATATACAGGTATATGTTTGTTCCAGTGACGATTGCTCTAAGGTGCGGAGGTATGCGGTGAACACCCTAACATAATTTGCAAAATGTCAAATAACAGGTATATAAATTTCGTCTCTCCCCTTTGTGTGCAAAGGAGTTGACCGCACATTCATACGTTGCATATGAACAAAATAATGTGCGTGTGCTCCCGTTTGTAATATCAGAGATAGAGATTTATATAGTGGAAATTGTATGAGAGTAATTTTCTGTTCTATTCGAATATCAACTGCATGCATACGAATCCAACATGATGATTTGCCAAAGTGGTTGCATGAGCGGCTAAAGTTTGCAGCTCATATCACCATACATTTCTATCACATTTCGTCTCTCCCCTTTTAACAGCAGCACCCACGAATTTCTGTTTTTATTGTGCGGGATACTTGTCCGCACATTTATACGTTGCAAGCGGGTTCGATTTTGTTTGATCACTGCACAAACATGTATGTTTCCAAGTACAAACTATTTTGTTTGAAAAAAGTTGGTTTGATGTTACGAGAATTATGTGAAAAGTTTTGTTTCTTTCATATTGATATAATATTAAACTTGTATATAAATTATTAATTTAATTTGTTTAATATGTTATTTTGTTAATGAATAGTTAATATAATATTGCGAATATATTGTTGCCTAATATAATATGGTTATTATTAATAAAACATCTCATATATTTTAATTTAAGTGGTACATGTAAAAAAAACAT